GGAGAAGCCATAACTTATACAATCACTTGCCTGTTTTTAGACATTGAGATTCTTTGCATATTCTTGTAGAGGTCTTTTTCTTCTTTTAAACCATTAATTCCAATGAAATTTCCATGAAGAGAATCTGAACATTTATATCGCTCTGTATACATATTGCCAAATAGTCTTCCAAAGATTGGAAACAATTTACAGTGTGATCCGTAAGGCAGGTAAGTGAAGTAGTGAGACTGCAGGCTTGCCTGTAAGGATTTAGTATTTCAAAAATTTTCCTATCAAAAGAGATGTGAACTGGCACCTGCTTCAATGTCTCTATTACTGTGGACCCTAAGCTCCCTGCAGGTAGAGGTGGTGCCTCTCCCCCCTTATGTTGTTTCACTGGCAGCAGCCTAAGTGCCTGGTGTATAGTAGGTGCTCATGAAAGTTTGGTAGAGAAAGTAAAATAAGTGATCTAGTGAGAGCCAACATTTTTCTTTAGTCTTTACTTTTATTTTCCAGCATGTAATCAGAGAGCATAACTTTTGCCCACATTCCTACTAGAGCTTTTATCTATTAGCTTTATGTGCTAATTAATTATGAATGAATCTCCCAGTCAGAGTCCAGTCAGGAATGCAGAAGCCACTGAGCTGTTTGAAAAGGAGGTGATTTAATACAGGGAGTCGTTTGCCAAGGTGATGCAGGAGCTGACACTCCCAGTCTGGGAATGGGTGGTGAGGCCCCTCAGAGGAAGCCACTTGTCACCCTGTCTTAGGGTGGGTTCCCCAGAAGCGGGCAATGGGAAAGCCTTGAGTAAATGCTTTAGGAAGCAATCCCATACAAAACCATTAGGAAAGAGGGACCAGGAGAGAAGGAAGCTAGCAAAGGGTGTCCTAACCAAGCTGGGTCCCACAGGGGGACTTCCGGCTCAGATCCGCAGAGGGTCCTGGATCCCAGGGCCTGGCAGCCCACGTGCAGTCTCCTGAAGGGCTCCGTGCTGGTCGGTGAGAGTGGACGCACCCAGGAGCTCCATGCATGACAGTGTTCAAGTGCTGGGAGGGGATAAGGCGGCANCTGAAGGGCTCCGTGCTGGTCGGTGAGAGTGGACGCACCCAGGAGCTCCATGCATGACAGTGTTCAAGTGCTGGGAGGGGATAAGGCGGCACACTGGCAGGAGAGACTGGGAGCAGGTGGAGTTAGCTGAGCCTAGAGCTGGGACTTTCCCGCACCAGGGCTCCAAGCAGCTCACAGCCTTTACCAAGGAGGGCCAGAGAGGTGCTGGCTGGCTGGCCCTTCTTTCTCTCTCTCTCTCTCTCTCTCTCTCTCTCTCTCTCTCTCTCTCTCTCTCTCTCTCTCATTCTTTCTCTCTCTCTGCCTCTCTTGCCAGAGCCACTAGTGGCTGAACTTGACCAGGCCACCTTCGATATCTAGTTCTCAGTTGATAGGTCGGCCAGTAAAGGAACGCGCACAGTCAGGCAAGATAAGAAAGTTTAAGAAAGCCTATTTTGTTAAGAGAGAGTCTATTGGGCTGAGCAAAGATGGCTACAGCCCAGGCTGCACGTATAAAGAGACTTGCAGCCCCGAGAGACGGGTTGAGGAGGGGTATATAGGGGTGGTGCTGACAAGGTAACATTGTTTGAACTGAAAATGCTGACTGCCTGTAAGCTAGTAGCTGTTTTGGGGCATTTTCTGTTATCGCAAGTTGCAGGCCAACAGATATTTTGTTGTTTCTTACAGACATGGCTCTGTCTGTAAGTCAAGGTCCCTGAGACATAACATTAAGTCAAGGTCTCTAACCTTCAGAGACCTAACATCAGTGATACAGGACAGTTCTGCAGGCTGGAGGTGGGTTTCAGCGCCAAGGGCCCTTTCCTGCTTTGTATCGCCATTGTGTGTCGTTTGTCTCTTTGCTAGTCTGTACATTGGGCTTTAAGTTTTGATAGGCAAGTGTGTCAAACTTCAAAATTAATGCTTCGCTTTATTCCTTTCTTGTGCTTGATTCTACTTCTTGGGGACTTTTCTATTATTCTAAACAAATGTATTTAAATCGTTAGTCCACCTTTGGGAAGGGGGCTATTTTGCTATATGGTATAAATTGTAGAAAAGGTGACTTTTTCTTCATATTGCTATCCGGGCGCCACAAGACTATTAACTAAGCAATGTTTGGCTACCTACTGGGCTGCCCATCGATTTCTTTAGTTGTTAAATTCTTACATATCATCAGATCTGTCTCTGGACTTCAATTTGTTTCACTGCGACCTACTTTCCTCTTTGTCCCAGTGTCTTATCACGCAGGGTAGTGGTGCTCTAATCTATTTCCATACCTACTGAGTCTAGACGGCTCAAGTGTCCTCCCTCTG